CAATGTGTGCTCGGCAAGACCGTTTTGTGCTTGAGCGCCACCAAGTCGTGTTTTACTGTAACTTCAGCAGCTCCAGGCACGTGAACAAAAGCGCCAATCTCATTGGTCGGCCATGTTTTTAACGCGGCACGTCAAATAAAAAAAAAGCGAGCCCGAGGCGTTTTTTAAAAAATGACGCTTTTACGCCTCGCGTTTTGCGCGTCTGTGTGCACACTCACATTGGCGCCCTTTGTTTAGTCACGAGGCGTTAAACGTCGGCGATAATTGCGCGCGTGAACAAGCTTTTAAGGTTATATAATCTCAAAAATCTGTAGAATCACAATTTAGGTGGAGAACAGCCTCCTCCTGCAAAAAAACACAGACTGTTTTTGGTGATTTATATAACTACACCTATCATGTGCAATGTTTTCAAGAACTGAAATTCGATTCTGTGCCTGTGCTTAGAAATATTTTCTTCTTGGAGCATAATCTATCCTCCGAGTGTATTCAGCAATAGTCTAACCCCTCAACACTACAGCAACATTAGTCTTTCAAGCTTTTAGTGCCACTTTGAAAAATAAAATCTTGTCGAGGGGAAAAGGAAAAAGTCAGAATCGCTCCTTTCAAACACTTTGCTTTTAATGTGACACCTTTCTGATTCTGGGGCCTTTTCCTCTCCATTATCGGTGTGCCAATATTAAGCATGACTTATTTATATCCTGTTTTGCAAGGCCCTGGGTGATGAAAGAGATAGAAGTGACAGCGAGGTGAGTCGGACCCGTCCCAGTACCTGGAGTCAACACTCGGCACATTTTGTCGCGCTTTGATCTAAGGGCCCCTTTGCTCATCTTTCTCCTTTGCCTTTCCCTCCTGATAAGGATTTACAGTTTCATCTTTTTTCTCTTTCCCTTACTTTTCTCTCCCTTATCACCTTCGCATCGCAGGGGATGTAAACAAGTCATCTTCGCTTCAATGAGTGATACTGACATGCAGTAGTGTTTCCTCGCTAAGTGCCTTTAAAGCCACAATATGTAAATGAGTGGATTGCTTTGGGTGTGTGCACACCAATGCAACCGCTGTATCGCAATTTCAAATGATGGCAAACATTGTAAAAACTGGTGTGATGGTGGAATCTACCATTTTACATTACATGAGTCTTTTAATGAAAGAGAAATGCATTTTGGGAAGATATTACTGTTAAACCTTTAAAAGTTTTTGTGATTATTTTAAAACTAAGTGTTCAGGGATTTATGCATTTTATGGTCAAATTGTTATAATAATAATAATTGTTGCTTGTAAAGGTAAGAATCTTGATGAAGTACTATTATTTCTAGATTGAAATAAGATTCAGTTTCTTGGCTGTTTGACTGCTTAATCAGAATCTACTGTATGAGGATGTTGGTTAATGACTGGATCAAGACCAGTTGGATAAAGAGACTGGATTAAATAGCTGATGTTAACTTGAAAAGGAATAACAGTTACATTCATGCTGATCCATAAATTATAGGGTGCTCTTATCAGCTCCGGCACAGCTGAAACTTCAAGATGTGGTTTGTGCTGAGTGCCATCTATAATGTCTCAAGTGTGGAAAGGAAGAGACATGCAGCCAGATGACCCAAACCCTAAGAGTGTACTGCAGTTCTTTTTTTTTTTTTGACACCAGTGTAAGCATGGCTCTCACTTTAATGGCCTGAGTGACAGCAATTTCATAGACAATAGTTATTCATTGTTGAATGGAATTGGAAATAATTAAAAGGTCAAACTTAAAGGGACACATAAACAAATAATTATTTTAACAAAACACCAAATTGACAGAGATTGGTGTGGGTTAAACTATGATTTTGTCTTTTGTCAAATCATAAATCTGCATTTGTTTATAGTTTTTAGATGGAAATTTACGATACACTTTTAAACAACATTTAAATAATATTAAGTTATTTTAGATCTTGAATACTTTTAATCATATTTGGTCACACTTTATTTTAAGGTCCAATTATCTCTATTAACTAGCTAGTAACTACGACTTTTGCATCAATAAACTCCAAATTTGCTACTTATTAATAGTTAGTAAGGTAGTTGTTAAGTTTAGGTATTGGGTAGGATGTAGAATATGGTCATGCAGAATAAATGCTTTATAAGTACTAACAAACAGCCAATATGTTAATAATAGGCATGCTAATAAGCAACAAGTTAATAGTGAGAATTGGTCACTATACTAAAGTGCTACCTAATATATACCGGTCAGCAGTCTGGAATAATGAAGATTTGTTTAATGTTTTTGAAAGAAGTCTGTTATGATCACCAAGCCTGCTTTTATTTGATGAAAAATACAGTAAAAACAGTAATTTAAGATAACTATAACTCATGATGGCAAAGCAGAATCTTCAGCAGCCATTAATCCAGTCTTGATCCTTCAGAAATCATTCTAATATGCTGATTCAGTGCTCAGTTATTATTACTTATTATTGGCTCTCAATTATTAATAATGGTACATTTTTAATGAATCAAAAAGTTCAGTGATTTCTTTTAAGTAGAAATCTTTTGTAACATTATTTTGTAACAATTTAATGCATCCTTGCTTGAATGTTAATGTATCGGTTTCCATAAAACTAGCAAAAAACAGTTTTTTTTCAACACTGCTAATAATAAAAATGGTTTCTTGAACACTAAATCAGCATACTAGAATGATTTCTGAAGGATCGGCAAAAGAGACTTCTTTGAAAATAATTAAACAAATTTTAATTATTCCAAACATTTGACCACTACATGTAATACAAACTATAATTTGTAAATGGCACAATTGCTTCACCATGATGCTTCACCATCCTCTCAGCAGGGTAAGCAGTGTGAAGTTATTTGTTTATTTATTTTTTTCAGTGGCCTAACTGCCACAATGCCATATGATATATCCTAGTCAAACACTACATGCTTATATTCCCTACTTCTTTATTCTAATACAGAATATATCTTTCTCTCTCTGCTTGTTTTCTTGCTGGTGCGTGTGAATTTGGTCTCTTGCTGTGCTGCAATTAAACAGGAATGAGGAGGCTGTTGGTTGAAAAGAAAAAAGAAGCCACCAAGAAAATGATAATAATGATGTAGTTTGTGTGTCACATCTAATTTACTGCACTCACTGCAACTTAAACAGACTTGATAAATTATTTGAGAGGGTGGGGTAGGAAGAAAAAAGAGCAGGGGAAAATGACATTGTTATTCATTCATCTGTGTCTTTGTCACAGAGTCAAGAACCAAAAGACGTGCAAAGAAAACTTCTCTCCCCAGGGCTCAAGCATCCATAGTTCAAACAAAGTAAACAACTGTTTTTCTCAGATGCTCACATTAGTGTTGCTGCAGGCAAAAGTTGACTTCCTTTAACAGCTGGTGCTGTGGCAACGTTTAGCCGGGAGGAGGGGAGTGTGAGATTTTTGCTGGTGTGGACCTTACGATGGACCGTTTCTACACCCTGCTGTTCCGAACAGGCTTTCCCAGCATTGCGAGACTTGTTTTGATATGGCTATGATGGTGGTTACCTCTGAAATAGCAACTAACTGCACTCCACACCTTTTCCCACGTGGCATTATTTTCTAATAAGTTTTTGTTTTACACAGAAAACAATCAAACTCACACTCTCTCAAGTTGTGAGAAAACCAGGGAGAGAACAAGAAAAATGCCCTGGGTAACAATCTCTTTGTTGAAAACTTAAGTCTTTATTCTCTACCTGGTTGGGAAAGAGAAACTCCCACAAGAAAACACTTCAAAGGCACTACACTCTGAGTGAACACAAATATTACAAAATATAAAAATAAAAAATGAATTTAAAATATTCGCAAAATAATAGTTTATTATGTAGAATTATAATTTAGTATCTCAATGATACTAATGTAGCACTGGATATTTGTACTTTTCTTGTTAACGATTTAAGGTCTTAATCCTTTTGTTTGTTTGTTTGTTTGTTGTTGAAACTATAAAGTATATATATATATTTTTACCTTATTCTGTGCAGAAAATTTAAATAATTGTTTGTAGTATATAAAACAATCATAACAATCAAACAACAATTGCCATTAGGAAAAAATTATATATTACAAATGATTAATTATTGTGCAGCAGTGTATTTGATTTCTTATAGCAAATTCAAAGTAAGAGATAAGAAAAGAATTCCTTGTAAAATAAAAAAAATAATAATAATAATACATACATACCTACATAAAATTATTGTATTTGACATTTCT